TTATCGAGCACCAGCGAACCCACAGTGGCGAGAAGCCCTACAAGTGCAGCAAGTGTCCAAAAGCTTTCAAGGGCATCTCCCAGCTCATTCATCACCAGCGCATCCACAGCAGGGAGAAGTCATTCCAGTGCAAGGAGTGTGGAAAGGCCTTCCGGGGGCGCTCGGGCCTCAGTCAGCATCGTCGGGTGCACAGTGGTGAGAAGCCCTACGAATGCAGCGACTGTGGGAAGACCTTCGGCAGACGATCCAACCTCTTCAAGCACCAGGCGGTTCACAGGGAGGAGAGGCCCCACAAGTGTCAAGACTGCAAGAAGGTGTTCCGGAGCAGCTTAGACCTCCTGGAGCACCGACAGGCGCACGAATGCCGGAAGGCCTGCAGCAAGAGCGAGGAGAAGCCTTGCACATGTGGCGAGTGTGGCAAATGTGACAAGGCCTTGAAGGGAAAGTTGCAGAAAACTCGCCATGGAAAGAAGACTTCGGAGGACAGCGACAATGAAAAAGAGCCAGTCTCCTTGGCCCTCAAAAGTGCCCCTGCAGAGTCCCACCCTGAGGATGAGAAACAGGGGAAAGACTCTGAATGCAAGGCTACCCACAGTGCCATGTGACAGGGTTGTCTCGGGAGAGCTGAGCGTCCTGCTCCCCTCCATTCTGTCATTGATGATGCAGCCTGAGCCCTGGGCTGATGACAGGGTGCCATGAGTGTGCACAGGAGTGCGTGTGTGTGGAGCGGATGTGAGCTGCTGAAAGGGCCCTTGCACACCCATCGGGACTTCATGCTGCAGGAGGACACCTGTGTATGGGGCCACCCCCAGGGCGCAGGCACCTTGAATTCATTCAGTAGAGTAGTCTATTTTCTCTCATCGAGTCATTCACTGCACCCCAAGACTTGTTAGTGTTTCCAGGTAGAAGACACGAAAAGCACTTTAATCCTTGAAGAGCTTATAGATGGAAGGCCCTTGAGGACATTAAAACTCGTGAACTCTGTAAGTAGGCTGTGGCTCGACTGTGACATCCCCCCAAATTCATCAAGAAATGGCCTGCAAATGGACTCAGGCAAATGCTCTCACACACTGCTCATGCCTGCATTGTCAGCCTGGGCTCCGTGGGAAGGCACAGGACACCCTGCTACAATGCTGACCCGTGCTTTTTCCAGGCCATTTGTCTTTGTGCCTGAAGACTGCAGCCTTCCACAGCTGTCCCCAGCTGCTGCTTCTCAGAGGAGCAGCGCCAGGCCCCATCTTCTCAGAGCTCAGAGCTTGGGAGGTGGGGGTGGCTCTTGGGGGTGAAGGGCTGGGGCCCCGTGGAGAGGATGAGGCCCAGGGACTCTCAGCTTCTCCTCCCCCAGAGAGTAGCCTTTCTGCACTGGTCCCTCGAAGCAGCAGGCTCCAGGCAAGACATGGCAGCATGGCAACATTTGCCACCGGCTGCCCGGCTACCTTTGGTCTCCTCCCTGCCCACCAGGCCCCCAAGTTTGCCCCATCTGCTGCTTTTCTCCCCCTGCCCCCCGCCCAGAGCCCGCCAGCAAAGGCCACCCTGGCTTCTCTGTCCCTCCTTCCCACCCTCAGTGCCTAAAGCTGCCCCCACTCCCCGTACCCAAGCCGCACCCCTTGTGGTTTGTACGCATCAGGAGGAAAGCCAGACGGGTTAGGAATTTGCACAGAGGGTACCCAGCCGTGGTTCTCTCATTAGATCTGTCTTTATAGGACATTTCTGAAAATATTGGAGGCTCGGTTGCTTTGAATGTTTTTGCTTTCAGGACAATGTAAGTTGAAGACTGAGATTTCTGCCATATGAGAGTGTCAGGGAATCACTCCTGAAATAAGTTTCCCACCCCACCCCCAGCCCTCTGAGAAGTACTCAGACAGGAGAAAGGGTCCCACCCTCCCCGCCCGCCCTGCCCCCCGAGGCCTGGCACACGGTCAGTGTGGCGGCAAGCCTGGCTACTCTTCTCCCTCCTCCCCCACAGCCCTGTGGAAACAGGGCAGACCCTGCAAATGGCACTTTACTGCAGGCCAGGCAAGGTTCTCAAGGAGAAAACTCGCACTGGCCAGGGAGGCAGCTGCTGGCAGGCTCTGTCCTGTGCCACCTATGCTGTCCCCAGAGCTGGGCCCAGGAGTTATACCCCTTGGTGCTCTCGGCCCAGTTTCCTGGTTCGCTTGCCACCTCCTTCCAGTCCCCTTCACTCTCAGGGGCTCTGGTCTGTCACACAGAGCGCCTGAGGGCAGGCAGGTGGTGGATATGCTGGAGTCCCCCTCCCGGCCTCCAAGGAGCATGCGCCTCCAAGGAGCATGCGCGGAGCATGCGCGTTCCCTGCAAGACAGGGGAGGGTCAAAGACCCATCAGGTGAGTGTGGGAAGACCTGGAAGTCCAGGATTCCTTACGAACATGCTGTTTGGAGCTGCAATCGCTAGGACGACTCCAAAAGTGAGAAATACAGGAATAGGTGTAGATGTAGATGTAGGTGTAGGTGTAGATGTAGGTGTAGATGTTTTATAGAGATTTATTTAAAGGATTTTACACATCTTTGACTTCTGGAAAGTGCTTGTAACTTGCTCTTATCTCATAGCCTCCTTCGCTGCATCCACATCCCCTTGTCCTTTGATTGGCCTCTGCTCTGCGTGTCACATTCATCTTTGTGCCCTAGCACTGGGCTTGGCACTTAGTAAATGTTAGATTGCCGAAGGAGGAACACACAACGAGAACTGAATGAAATGTGGTCTCAGCAAAGGGACTGTCCATAGTGAAATGACCTGGAATGCCAGTTCCTAGGGGAGGGATATCATTTCAATTGCTCGATCAGACCTAACAGTAAATGCTTGTGGAATGAATATCGCCCCCTCAGCACATTGAGCTCAGGTTCTAGACCACAGTCAGCCCCAGCATTGCCTGGAGGCCGTTGAAAGTTTCTGCAATATTTGGGTTTTTCTGTAGAAAAAGAAGGATTAGGAACAGTGTCTGAAGTCCATGGAGAAGTCATTGGGAAATGTGTATTTTTCTGAGATGCAGACAATCTTTGCTAGGATTCAAGAAGCCAGTCCCCACGCAGTGCAGGGGACAGTGGCCAGAGCCCTGTGCTTGGGCTCCAGTCTCCTTCAACCACGGCCTGACTGGGACTGAGACAACAGCTCTCACGTGGTGGGAATCGGGAAGAATGCTTTTGTAAGTGAACAGTTTTGCTCTTACAGGCCAGTCAGTAACCAGCTTTAAATAAAGAAGAGCTGCACCCTCGCCGGTTTGGCTCCGTGGATAGAGCATCGGCCCACGGACTAAAGGGTCACGGGTTCAATTCTGGTGGGTGTGGGAGGCAATGGGTCAATGCATCTCTCACATTGATGTTTCTCTCTCTGTGTCTGTCCCCCTCCCTTTCAATCCCTCTAAAAATCAATGGGGAAAAATACCCTCAGATGAGAATAGGAAAGAAGGAAGGGTGGGAGGGGGAGAGAGAGAGAGAGACAGAGATGGGGGGAGGAAGGGAGGGATCGGCCGCCTCCTGCACGCCCCCCACTGAGGATGGAGCCCACACGCCGGGCCTGTGCCCTGATGGCAGGAATTGAAGAGGTCATCTTTCTGTGCACGGATGAGATCCAGCCAACTGAGCCATACCTGCCAGGGTGGCAAGCTGATTTTTCATATGGAAATACAAAGGATCAGATCTGGAATAGCTCACTTTCTTGTCTGGCCTCTTTTACTCTGCATAATGATTTTGAAGTGCATCCAGATTGTTGTAGCGGTCAGTCCTTCGTTTTCATTGCTGAGTATCATTCCATTGTGTGCACGGACCACAGTATTTGTGTTGTTTCCGGGTATTGGCCATGACTAATAAAGCTACTATGAATGAGCATTTGTGTACCATTGTCTGTGTGGACATATGTTATCACTTCTCTTGGGTATACATGTGCCTGGGAGGGGAGTTTCTGGGTCAGTTATTGATTTTGATCTTATTGCTTCGATCATCCTTGGTTGCCCTGCCGTCCTGGTTCCCCAGAGACATGCTGCACATTTAACTGCATACTGGGATGTGAGGGCAACTGAGGCCTATGTCTTGCCTCCATTCACAATCAGGAGCATGTATTTGTTGCTATGATGCCCTTGTTCATTGATCTGAAAACGTATCACTGTTCCAAAAATTTTTAAAAACTTTTGTCTTGCCCTGGCAGGGTAGCTCAGTTGGTCAGAGCATTGTCCCAATATGCCAAG